TGTAAATCCTGCTGCAAATTGTAGTCTGCAGAGAAGAGCATCGTGCCTAATCCTCCTCTTTTCATGGTTTAGTCTCTACAAAGAGGAGAGCTGGAAATTGGGTCTTTTGACAGCAGTTACTAAGCAACAGAATTTGGATGCTTTTGGTTAACATCCTAATATATCATGTAGTTGATTTTTTGAAGTTTGTGCACATATCATTTAAGAACAGTGAATACTGCAGAAGTGACTGCAGGTCCCGGTATGGCTGGGAGGTGGGTGTTGTCCTTTTGTTTAATACTCTGTCTTTTTACACTTGTGTCTATTTGACACTAAGGAAGATGGTACAGAACTTCCAGATCTTGCAACTTTTTATATTATTAACTATATTCGTTCAGTGGCTCATGTTATGTGAAAATGTAACTTTTTCCTGAAGAGTAGGAAGAACAAATTAAGGATTTTAAGGTCAGTCCAGGAAAGTTTAAGTGCTTTGCCAAAAGTTTAGGTCCACTTCCTGAGGCAGTTTCATTAGAAGACAGCTAATGTTTGCTTGGTCTACTCCCAAATTATTTTTAGAAACTAGAGATTATTACTGATAACACCAATTTAAATTTGCTCACTTACGTTTTTATATGCAACCAAATATGATTTGAGTATGCTTTCAACTAATTGCTGACAGATTTACTACATTAGGGATTTTCTAAGCCATTAGATTCCTACTGTCATCAGATTTCTAACTGGGTTTAATTACTTTATGCCAACTACTTCAAAATGAGGTGAATTCTTTCAGCTCCTGAAAGAACTAGTGAACTTGGCTTTGCTTACCTATGAGTACTAAAGAGGTTGTAGAAAATGGAGAACAGAATCTACCTAGAACACACTTTGTTTTGGTTTGTGATTCTGAAAGGCTGGGATTAACCTGAAGGTAATGCTGGCATGCTCACATTTGCATTATGCACCCTAGAGCCTGCAGCTGTGGCCCCGCCCCTGCTCACAGGGGGCTCGCGTTTGTCTGGAGATTCCAGGAGTAAGCTGTGTGTGTGAAGAACTTACTTACAGCGCTATGTGCCATATGCAGACCCTCTCCCAACTCCTGCATGCAGGGCCCATTTCTCCTGTTCCTCAGTGCTTCGGATGTATTCAGCATGCCTTCTGGGTTGTCTTTTATGACATTTATATCTATGTTGTACTGTCTTTGCAAGCAAAAGAAGTACCCTAGCGTTTAATGTTTACCGTCCTATTGTGTGCACAGCTAGCTTGTAGGATTTGGTGTTTGCTAGAGGTGATTGTCATTCTTTACAGTAGACCTCAGACTTTCCATGCTGACCTCTGGGCCAGTATTTCATCTTTCTTTTTCTTGTCATTTTTATTTCTTCATTACTTTGCATTCTTTTCTTTCTAATGTCTCACTGACTCTTAGATATTTCACATATGCCAATAACTTCACCTGCACTTGAGGAAATTCCCAAATAAAACTAAGATGACCATATATTCTTCAGGTGTGTGTTCGTTTGTTTGTTTGTTTGTTTGTTTGTTTGTTTTGTGGTACCAAGGATAGAATTCAGGACTTTATGCTTGCCAGGCAAGCACTTATTCCACTGAGCTATCTCCCCAGCCCTAGACTGATTTTTTTTTTTTTTAACGAGTTTGTGTGATAGAATACTTGTCTCTAGCTTCAGCCCACCTAGCTGCCTCTACATTATGGCAGCATTTTTCTGAAGCAGGAAATAGTCACAAACCATCATGTCTAGTCTGTGCTATTAGTGATGGCAAGTTATGATACTCTGATTAGGGCAGTTTGTAGATTTATTCCCCATGCAGCTTTTCTACTGTTCTTTGTTTTCAAAATGAGGAAATATCTTTGGCACCTATTTCTCTCATCACTATACTCATTCTTTTGCCAAATCTTTTGAATTCTCCTAAAATATTTTTCGAAAAGATAAAAAAATATTTTTAGAACCTGTCTACTTCTCAGCACACTCACTCCTAGGCCACCATCATTTCTTTTTTCTTTAAATGTATTTGGTACAGGGTCCAGGGTCTCACTGTGCAGCTTGGACTCTAGTGATCCTCTTGTTTTCAGCCTTCCTAGCAGTGGGATAACAGTTGTGTGCCATACACCCAGACTCGGTGACATGGCACGTAGTGACAGCGATCAAACCCCAGTCCCTCTGCTTGCCTAAGCAGGTCCTTAGCCCACTTAGCCCACTGAGCTATCTCGCTGGCCCCCTCAACTCTTTTTTTTTTTTTTTTTTTTTTTTTATGTGTGTGTGTGTGTGTGTGTGTGTGTGGCCAGCTCAGCCCACCAGGGGGCGGGGCTGGCTGGCATGTGGTGCTGGGGGATTGAACCGCGGTCCCTGTGCTTTGCTGAGCTTGTTCTAAGTAGGTGCTTTAGACCACTGAGCCATCTCACCAGCCCTCTCAGTCAACTCTTAAAACTCTGCTTTAACAATAAAATTAGCACTCACAGGAAATGTATAAGCCCCTCTGTGTGCGGGCTCATCCCCTCTTCAGTTTCATCCTTCACTCACCCCTCGCCTGTGTACCTCATCAGCAGCATTGCCTCTTCGTTTTAGTTCTTACTGACTGTATATCCATCTTCAGCATTCTTGTCTATCTCTGTGCCTCCTAATGTTAAGTACACGCTGCTTAGAATACTTTCTTCCTTTGCTTTGCACTAGTCAGCTCCTGTTCTTTCTGCAGGTAGCAGTTTAGATGTCACTCCCTAAATTTGGGAGACCATCCTTGACTCCCTTAGTTCCTTTATGAGTTGGGAATAGGCTGAATTAGACTCTGGTAATAAACAGCCCTAGAATCTCAGTGGTTTAACACAATTAAGTGTATTTCTTGCTCACACTGCATGTCCATCATGGTTCAGAAGATAAGCTCTACTCATTGTAGTTTCTCAGAGAGTCAAGATAGTAGAAGTTCCATCTCACAGGTGATTCTGTGAGACAAGATGGGAAAGAACATATGGCAGATCATGCTGTGACTCTTAGGTCTTCTTTCAGAAAGTGTTGTGTTTCTATTCATGGTATTAACTTTGGTAAAGGTAGGATGTTTGTGTTTATTATTCTATTGCCTCATTAATGCTTAACACATAGTAATGATTCAAATATACTTGAATGAATGAATGAATATAACACTTCTTATTATGTGAGTTCTTAGTCCTTTACCATTTGTTCTGTATGATTTGTTCTGTGTTCTTCTTTACCATTTGCCCTGTATGATTTCAGCAGTCACTGTTCTGTAAATGATTTCCATACTCTAGAGTCAATCAGATATCTCCAGCTACTACTTGATCCTTCTTTTTTAATTTAAAATGCATAAATTTAAATGGATTGTTTTAGTGAATTGTTATTTTCTGTTACAGCATTAATTGACATGAAGACACATATAATTAAGATAGTACTTGCTTTCTGAGTGCTTACGATCCAGGAGAATAAAGGAGAAAAATACTATAAATCTATAATATATGCATAGTATACAAGGAAAAAGAGGAACAAGTGACTTAGGGAAAGATAGAATTAGAAGTTCTGTAGCTTCAGCTATTGAGTCTGTTGAACAGGTATCATTACTGAATACTGTTCTGCACAGAGTAATAAAGATGAAATAAACAAAGTGTACTTTTTATCTAACTCACAATCCATTGTGGATATAGATAGCTAAAGAGAAGAAGTTAGATGAAATTTTGATGAAGTGTGGGATAATAATTGAGGGATAAAGGAAGCGGAACAAAGGAAAGTATTTCCACTAGAAAAGTTTGATCTGATTAAATATCTGGAGGCAGAAATTATGTTGCATTGCCAGGAAAGATTTACATCTGAGGAACTGAATTAGGATGGTGACAATGAAAATCTATTATGGTAACTTTTTTAATTGTTACAAATACTTTAAAGACTAAGTATACACGGACTTTTTAATATTATGGATTTGATCTACTTTATTTATGTACCTAATTCTAAAGCTTAAAATGGATGAGAGCCAGGGCAGGAGGTACTGTCTTGGTGCGTTGCAGCTGCTTGTCAACCAGAGAGATTAGGCTGGATGCAAAAATTAATTTGTCACTTATGACACCAGTGGGATATACTGAACTTCACTGAGAGCTTATAGTTCTTGGAATAGGGACCCACGTTATTTACAGAAGGGCTGGTCTCAAGGCATGAGCGCTTGTATGTAACATATGCATAAACTAATTCTATCTGAATTGGAATTGGCCTCTATGCCAAGATATGATAGCTTTTTTCACTGCTTTTTTTAAATTTGTATTTCATTGTCTTATGTTATCTTCGGGTTTTATTTTTGGGATTGGATTTATATATGCATCTGCCTGCTTCTTCATTTCTAACTTGTGGTGTGGACTTGTTCAATTGCTTACATTGGTCTTGAACTCCTAACTTCAAGTGATCCTCCTGTCTCAGTCTCCTGAGTAGCTGGGATTACTGGTATATGTCATGTGCCTGGCTTGGTAACTGGTTTAAGTTCTTCTGTATACTCTTTCCATTGTTCTTGCCTAAAGGCACTGTAATTTGTACAAGTAATGAATGATACCCAGTTTATTCTGTGTATTCCTTCTGGCTCCATCTAGCACCTGAATTACAACTAAAGTCATGCTCCTGACATAAATATGAGAAACCAATTTGATAAACATGACAGAATTTCTTAGCTGATTCTTTTGTTTCTCGAGATGCTCAGGTATCCTATCTTTAGCTCTTAGAACTGAACACAGCCTTAAGTTGCCCTCTACTCAGCTGTAATGAATTTATGTTGTCTTGGACAAGTGATTTGATTGCTTGGAGCCTCAATTTCCTTATAAGCATTTTTTAAAGATCTAAAATCCTGTAATTATTAAATTTAGTTTATTTGTAGTCTGAAGCTTTACTGTGCTTTCTTTAGCTATCACTCAAGAATTAACTAAATTTGATGTTTTTAGAAATTGTTATTATATGGATTGTAGAGAGATAAGTGATTTTGCTTTCTTTTATTTATTTTTTTTATTTTTATTTTTTGCTTTCTTTTAGATCTTTGATGATGCATACAAATCTCAACTCAGTTGTGTGGTTGTGGATGACATTGAGAGATTACTTGGTAAGTCATTGTACTCCACCCATTACCACTGAAGTGTCAAATATTACAAAAAAACAGAATGATATTTATAAATTGTAGAGTAGTAGAAACCCTATTCTTTATCTTACAAGAAAATATAAATTATATCATATCTGATGTCAACAATAATATTCATGATAAAATGCTTTCTAACCTCACTTGCATTATAAACTAACTTTTGTAACATCTCGTATCATTTTTTGTCTTCCACAGTGTATCATGCCCATAACAAATGATTAGTAATTTTTATTGGTGGATATATTTGCTTTTCAGTACTTCTGAGTTGCCTATTGCTCAGAGGTCCATTTGTGAACTTTGACAGCATGCAAGAGGCTTTGGGGTCGGGGTGAAACTCATAGATTCACCAAAGCTTTTAGAATAGAAGTTGTAAGTTGTCTGTATCTTGGTTTCTGCTCTTTTATCAAAGATTAGAATACCTTTTTTGTTTATCCACAGAGTAATTATTGCAGACAGAAAGGAAATAGTAATGTAAACATTCTGAAAGTTAAAAGTATTTTTTGATTTTTTAGTACAGGATCTTACTACACAGATCAGACTCAGTGATCCTCCTGTTTTCAGCCTCCCAAGTGCTGGGATTGCAGGGGCATGCTACCATGCCCAGTCTCAATCGGCCATCTCAGCATGTCCTAGGGGCAGGGCTGGCACGGCATGCCAGGGATCAAACCCTGGTCTAAGCAAGCGCTTTAGTCTGCTGAGCAATCTGGCCAGCCCTAAAAGAACTTTATGGTAGGTGCTGGTGAGATGGCTCAGTGGTCTAAAGCACCTACTTAGAACAAGCTTAGCAAAGCCCAGGGACCGCGGTTCAATCCCCCAGCACCACATGCCAGCCAGCCCCGCCCCCTGGTGGGCTGAGCTGGCCACACACACACACACACACACACAAACAAATAAATAAATTTAAAAAAAAAGAACTTTATAGTAACCTTAAAATAAATAAATAAATAAATATGTATATATACATATACATATTATGTTTTATTCATTTTAATGAGGAAAAAGATCTTAAAAAATATTTGTTAACATTTCCTACATTGAAGTATGGTTTAATAGAATACAAAGATGAGTAAGCCTTGGGCCAGCCTGATAGCTCAGCAAACTAAAGCACCTGTTTAGGCAGACGCAGTGGCCTGAGGTTTGATCCCTGGCCCACAGGGCGCACTGAGATGGTGATTGAGATTGGGTGTGACCCTTAATCCCAGGTCTTTGGGAGGCTGAAAACAGAAGGATCACAAGTCTGATCTACATAGTGAGACCCTGTAGACCTGGTAGACCCTGTCCTAAATACATTTTTTTAAAAAAAGATGAGTAAGACTTAATCCCTGCGCTCAATTCAGAAGTAAACTAGAAGTAAATACCAGATAATTCTTGGTACTCTTACATTTTATTCATTGTGAAATTAAATTAATCTCACATAAATCATTATAATACTGAATCAGGGTCAAGGAGCCAGCTCAGCAGCATAAGTGCCTGCCTGGGAAGTGCAAGGTCCTTAGTTCGATCCTCGGTATCAAAAAAGGAAAAAAAGAATCAGGATGGAGTAATAAACTCTGCGGGAATAGAAAGTCAGCAGGGTCTGAGAATACTATTTAACACCTGATTAATCTTTCTTAAGTTGCTCACAGTAATGTAATGATTTTAAGTTAACTATCATATTTTCCCCATAATTTTTGGACTTTATTAGGTCTGCTATTGTTTATTTTTTTAAGTTTTGGTGATATTTGTTATAAAGCAAAGCAGGTATATCTGTGAGGTCTTCTTAAATTAATAGTTTTATCTGATGACCTTGGTTTCTGGTGTGCTGTGTTTGATTCATTCTCAGCCCAGTTTATAGGATTATTTCTTTAAAAGCTTTTAGGCACATACTTACAGCTCTGTGTAAATTCCTTTATCTAAACACAATTGAGATGTGTGGTCATAGCAACACTACTATGTCAGGAATGCATGCCCTCTGAGATATTTTCACTTATATGAATAGTTATTTTCTGCACTTGTTTGTTCATTTATTCAGTAAGCATTTGCTGAGTCCTTACTACTGTGCTAGAAGTATTAGCACAGAAAAATAACTGAGATGCTGCTTGTCTATTATAGTATATACAATCATGGCAAAAACTAGTGCAAAGTAGAATGTGTATGTATTCTGGATATTCATAAATCAGAGGAGTTACTTCTCGCTTGAGAAGTTCATGTCTGCAGCTAGCTCTAAGCACAAGACTGGATTCCTATGCAATGTACAGAAAAAGTTAAGGGTGACATTTATGTAGAATCTTTTCAAAACTTTTTATTTGGTACAGGGTCTCACTACGCAGCTTGGACTTGTAGTGATCCTCCTGTTTTCAGCCTCCCCAGTGCTGGGATTATAGGTGTGTGCCACCATGCCCGACCTTGGTCGCCGGCTCAGTGTGCCCGCTGGTGGGGCTGTCACAGCAGGTGGTGCAGGGATCAGACCCTTGTTCCTGAGTTTGCCTAAGCAGGTGCCTAGTCCACTGAGCTATCTCACTGGCTCTGATGTAGAATCTTGAAGTATTAGTAGAGGCTTAATAAGAAAAAAGTTCCTTTTACCATCTGAAGGCCAATCTCAGTGGTTTTACTATTATTTTAATTATGTTAAAATATCTTATCCCACTCAGTACTGGAGATTGCACTCCAGGGCCTTTGCATGGAGCTGCTCCTCAGGCCTTTTATTTGAGACAGCATCTTACGAAGTGATGAAGTTGCCCTGGCTAGGTTCACACTTTTGAACCTCCTACCTCAGCCTCAGTACTAAGGTTAGCCCATGTACTGCTCTCTCCCCCGCTCCCTGCGAGCCATTTTCTACCATTAAGTGTTATTGTCAATATACTGTACTACTCTGGTTTGCAATAATTTCTTAGAAATGCTTCAAAATAGTTAGGATAGATATACAGCTACATTCTCGTAACTCAATAACTAAGAAGATTTCTTCTAATAGTGTTTGTGGATGGGAAGTCATGTCTGCATCTTGTACAGTGAATAACCATGGAGACAACAATGTGTGATGTATTTATTATTGAAACTGTCCTACTGATCAGTTTTGAAACTGTCTCATTGCTATTTGTTTTGCAATAAAATTATTTTAAAAATAAATAAAATAAAGAAGTGCTTGGTAAGGGGCTGGTGAGGTAGCTCAGCAGACTAAGCGCCTGCTTAGGCAAACACAGGGACTGGGATTTGATCCCTGGCACCACGTGCCATGCCAGCCCTGCCCCCAGGTGTGCTGAGCTGGTCACCAAGGGAGACCAAGACAGGGTGTGGTGGCACATGCCTATAATCCCACTGCTGGGGAGGCTGAAAACAGGAGGATCACTATGAATCTGAGCTGCATGGTGAGACCCTGTACCAAATACATAGAAAAGAAAAGAAAAAGAAAAAGAAATGCTTGGTAAGTATTTACCTGGATATTTTCCCCCTTTAAAAAAATTCTTTCTGGGCCGGGGAGATGGCTCAATGGAATAAGCGCTTCCCTGGCAAGCGCAAGGGACTGAGTTCAATCCCTGGTTCCACAAAAAAAAAAAAAAAAAAATTCTTTCTGGGGCCGGGGAGATAGCTCAGTAGAATAAACTTTCACCTGGCAAATACAAGGGCCTGAGTTCAATCCCTGGTTCTGGAAAAAAAAAAAAATTGTTTATGTAAACCAAATAAGATGTTTGGATGAACTCAAAATGATTACTTAGATTTTTCAAAGTATTTATAGATAAGTTTTCTTTTTTTCACATAAGTATTCTTATGTGATATTTTAAACATTAGGTAATTTGATATATTTTTTATTGCAAATAGTTGAGTGACTTATTTTAGGAAGATTGTTATTTATGCTTAATATAGAAAAATCTGAATATTTGGATATGTGCATATGTGTATTGAATCCCTAATCACAATGTTTCTCTTCCAGATTATGTCCCCATTGGCCCCCGATTCTCTAATCTGGTATTACAGGCTCTTCTTGTATTACTGAAAAAAGCACCACCTCAGGTAAAAGAAATAAACTAAGGAATATTTTCAGCTTTTCAATAAATTTCATATAATGGTACACAGTCTGAATGAGCAGATTATATATATTAGTTTAAGAGCCAGCCAGATAACTCAAGGGCTAGTCAGATGGCTCAGCTGGTTAAAGCACCTGCTTAGGCAGACATGGGGACCAGGGTTCAATCCCTGACGTCATGTGCTACACCAGCCCTGACCCCAGGCTGGGCTGAGCTGGCCAGAGTCTGGGGCATAGTGGCACATGCCTATAATCCCAGCACTAGGAAGCTTGAAAACAGGAGGATCATTGTGAGTCTGAGCTGCTTAGTGAGACCTTGCAACAACTAAATATATTAAAAAATAAAAAATAAAATAATATATATGGAAACTACTTAATGTTAAGCTGGTAAGACTAAGTTTAAAATTATCTGTGTGCAATCAGACATGATGGTACATACCTGTAATCTCAGGTGGCTAAGGTGGGAGGATCCCTGTGGGTTCAAGGCCTGGACTACATAGTGAGTTCACAGCCAACCTGAACTACAGAATGAGACCCTGTCTCCAAAAAGATAAAAGAAAAAGAATCTGTGTGCATATTTTACTCTTAAAGGTATAGAGGACTTGTCTTGATTTTCTAGGTCTTTTGGCTTTTTAAAATTTTTATATAATGAAAGAAACATAACCTACAACATACATAAAAATTCACTACTGCATATGTGCACTGTGGAAGGATTATTTTTGTGTGTGTGAGTACCAGGTATCAAACTCGGGACCTGACTGAGAATTACTTATAATCCAAAGTAGATACCGATAGAAACAAAAAAAAATTTTTTTTTATGAGCAGAATATATTTATTGAGAGAAAGAAAGCTCCTGTCCTGAGAGAGGGATAAGAGGGGGGGCCTGAGCAGGTAGTTCCCCCCCAGAAACAAAAATATTAATAAATGACCTATAACATTTGACTAAAGACTTATGAACAACTGTTTTTATTTTGTAAAAATACTGTAATTATAAGATTCTTCAGGAAAAGAGCATTAAGATACTTTAAAATCACATGGCATCTGGCATAGAGGCTTATTATGAAATATTCAAAAATACATATGCATGAAACTTATTAAGTATGTATTTTTAAAAGTATTTAAATGTCCTATTTTTGTGGGCTAAAGTGTTTTTGTGTTGCTAGAATTTAGATAGAGTATAGTTAGATGGAAAACATTCAAAAACAATTACAGCTTTAATGGCCAACAAGTGTGACAAGATAGTCAACATCATTAATCATTCAAGAAATGTAAATCAAAACTAATACAGTGAGATCCACTTTATACTCACTAGGATGACTATAACCCAAAAATCATATAATAACAAGCCTTGGTGAGGAGATGGAGAAGGTGGAACGCGCTGACTGCAGTTAAGAATGTCAGAGTTGTGCAGCCCCTAGAAAACAGTGTAGCAGCTCATGTAAACGTTAAACATCAAGGTTACCAAATGCCCCATCATTTCCACTTCTACTTGTATACCCAAAAGAATGAAAGTGTATGTGTACTCAAAAGCTTGTAGATGTATCGTTATAGCAATATTCTTTGTAATAACCAAAAATTGAAATAATGTAAATGTTTGTTCGTTAAATGAAATAAAAGCTAGCACAGCTATGCAGTGGAATATTAATCAGCAATAAAAATACAGTGCTGATATGTGCTACAGCATGAACCTTGAAAACAGGCTAAGTGGAAGAAGCCCATCAGAAAAGCCCACACGTTGAACGATTCTATGTATGAGATGGCCACAGCTGGCTCAGAGACAGAAAGTAGTTCAGCAGCTGCCCAGGGATAGGAGGGGTAGACAGGGAGGATGGGTGGCGCTTGCTAGCAGATGTCCTCTTTGGGCTGGTTAAGATACTCTAAACTGACTGTGACAGTGGCTGCACATACTGTGACTAGATGAAACTCCATTGAATTTTACACTTTAAACAGATAAACTGTGTGGTATATGAATTATATCTCAGTAAAATGGTCACTTTTTAAAAAAAAATTTGGTTTCATAAGCCACTTAAATGATGAAAGTAGAATGATGTAGAGAGTTAGACTTAAAAGGTGAGGTTGGCTGGGCATGATGCTGCACACCTGTAATCCCAGCACTCAGGAGGCTGAGGCAGAGGGATTGTTGCAAGTTCAAGACCAGCCTGGGTTACAAAGTGAGCTCAGAGCTAGCCTGAGCTGCATGGCGAGACCCCGTCTCATGAAGACAAAAAAATAAAAGGTGAGTATCCTAGGTACATGAGCGCAGCTTGGGAAAAATCTTGCAAACAGCGGCTAGATCACTAGAAGGGGATATGACAATTTCTGTAAGAACTGAAGAGGAAGGGTATGAAAATATGGAAGAAGTAAGAAGAGATCTGCTTGTGTAGTAATTGGAAATGGCAGCTGTTCTCCTAAGGGACACCAGCCTGTCATTAATCAGCATTTGGTGACCCTGACCTGATCTACTGTATGAGTGAATTCGTGGTGAGGGAGATAGTGTGTGTTATATTTCTAGTTGGCATATATTTAATAGACGAAAATATGCCTTGTCTTATCTCCATGCTTTCTAAAACTAGTTTATATTGTCTCAAGAAAATAAGGGAGAATTTTTAGGCTGATCCAAAGCCAAAAACAGTTGTCATTCTGAAGTGAAAGCATTTACTCACTTCACCAAATCATTATCATGTCAATCTTCAGAGGATTTCAAATAAAAGTATATGTATCTAAATAGTGTGCTAGAAAATTATTATTTATCACTGGCAGGAAAACAAAAGCTATGTACATTTTTCTTAAAAAGAACTGTGTATGTATACAATGCAGCAATTGTATCAGTGACAGAATCCTTAATATTGCATTTGTTGTAATTCCAGCTTCCACACAGAAAAATTGTGTGTGCATGTGTGCACATGTTCAAATAAAAGAATCCCTCCAGGGGTACTATGTTGTTATGTATCAAGATACTCTCTTTTCTACTTTTACCCCTCCCCCACCGCCTCTAAATTGGCTTATTAAAACTGGTTCACAAGCCCTTCTTTTTTCCCTTTGTGGTTGCCTTCCTCTTGAATTTTCAGTGCAGAACTAAGAATTCAAGTCAGATTTCAGTCACTAGGATAATTTTCTTTGAATTTTAAATTTTTCATAATAAATGCATAGATTTTTAATGAAGCTGATATTCAATGGATTTGCTTTAAATTTAGCTGGAGTTAATTTCATGATTGATTTATTAGCCTTTTGAAAGTATAAAAAGTGGTATCTGTAGTTCATGAAGACTGAAAAACATCATCACATTTTGTTTAGCATCTTTTTAAAACCAATTAAAAGCTTTTCTAAAATGGATTGAACAGGAGAAAATAAAACATGTTCCCTAGGTCTTTATTTCAATCAAGTTTTCCTGTGTTCTGCAGGAGAAGAGATCGAGGGGGATAGAAAAATTGAAAAGGGCTGTCCCAGCAGGGCGCCACGCTGGAGAAAAGGGCTTCTCTGAGAACTCAGCAGCAGCAGCTCAGAAAGCTCCCAGCCTGCTTCATCTACATGCAGAGTCACACAAGGCATGGGGGCGCTCACCGGCACACAGAGGTTTCACATGTGCTTCCCTGCTGATTCCTGTGAAAAGCTAACAATTGGCTTGGAGGGTAAAAGACCATTGCAGTTCACCCTCCCTGAGCTGGACGTACAATTTGTCCAGTGTTAGGAAATGTCCGGCTTAGCAGTGAGAGGCCTGAAGACTCCCCTCCTTCCAGTGAGATCCCTAAAGCCGTCTCTTTTGCTTGATGGCACTGGGGCTCTTTTCAGGTTTTGCAGATTTATGAAAGTTGCTGGGGTGTGATTTCCCAGACCAGGAGGATGAAAACCCTGGTCTCAGTATCAAGGAAGAAGCAGCAGTGAAGTGGGAAGGTGAGATGAACCCTCTTGCAGCCCTAGCACCGGTGCACATATAATTTTCCACAAGTCTCTTCTGCCACATTTTTTTTTTCTTCTTTTTCTTTTTGGGAAACAAAACAAAGTGCCTGAAAAGGAGCTCCTTGTGCTGTGAAATGGCATGACTTCCCAGTTTCCTCAATGAGTCTCGAGAGTAGCTTGAGCTCATTAGTTGTTTAATTCTGGGTGTACTTGACATTGCTAGAAATCAGAGTGGAAGTCCTTATCTGAATGTAACACAATAATATAGATTCGTAGAGAGCCAATCCCTTTTCAGGGATTTGCAAGCTTTTTATACCATGGCATGGAATGTGATAACTTGTAATGATAGACTTGGGTAAGTGGACAAGGACACTCAGTTGGCTGGGCGCCAGCTGCCCCCGTTCCTTCCCTTCAGTTGACAGGACTTGATATACGAGTCCACATGTAACTCATTTGCAGCACACCAGTGGGGGCCTCTTTGGAGATCGTAAGCTTTTACACAAGAATAGTGTTACTCCAAATTCATAGTAGTCGTACTGAAGGTACAGGTCAGACCTAGCAGTTATTGGGGTTCTAACTAAGTTATAAAGCTGTTGGAAAAAGGCACTTCCTCACTGTGTTGGTGCTTGGGAGTGTTACCTAATAAGACAGGGTTTAGAGCCAGGAGATCATAATAGGTGAGCCAGCAGGAATCTAGAGAATACTTGCGACGAGCCCTCAGACATGCATCTGTTTATCTGTGGGTTCTGTTTTAACATCACCTGTCTCTGAGCCAGACTGCTTTGTATGTAATCCTTATGGGCTATCTTAATGCAGTCTTCAGATATGTTACTGGGAAGGCTTGGTAACATTAGGCAGTTCTTCAGGTTTTGAGTTGTTTAGTAAAATAAGCAGATAGTGAAAGAGTCTCCGAATTGTGCAGGCCTAAGCATGAGTATCTTCTCATCTATCTGTTTAAAATTAACTCTGGCTAATGACTACAATATGACTCAACAAGACATATAACCACTTTAGAGAAGAGCGTTAGTCATTTTGCCAGATACATTAATTGTAATCACTGCTGTGGTGACTTCTGCACTGTATTTTATTT